TATTGAAATATTAATGCTGACTGACTACTGCTGGTAATATACTTTAACTCCAGTATACCACTGATTTTCCAGAAGATGATCGAGCGGACATTCGATTTAACCGATAAATTTTTGGGTATCAGAATTTCTTCGTCATTCACCAATTGCTCTGTTAGTGCTACTTATGTGCTACCTCAGAATTACAGTGTAAAGACAAATTTGCTTTCATTTGAACTGACATCGACATTAGAAAATGAAGTTTTATATATAGGTGGCTGCTGCTGTGCACGATACTTTGTTTGTTATGGTGTCCTTCACTGTTTTCTGAAAAACTTACCCTAAAGACTGAAGCTGAGTTGTTTATCTGTTGGTGGAATCAGTGAGAAGTCCCTTCTTCTTAGCGCAACACCTAGGTAGAACACGATTCCATACTTTGTTCGTTACCCGTTCGCTAAACGGATATAAAATTTCATTTACTGTAAGGCAAAAATTAAATATTTTTCTGCAAGAAAAGCAGTAAGTAATACTCTTTGTATTAAACTACTTTTATCGATATTAGTTGTTAAATTACAACATTTATTTGTGTACATTTTATGCTTTATCAGTCAAATCTGTTTAGTAATTAAAATATACCATCATGTTTGGGTTTAGGCATCGATTGGAATTGCAAAGCTCACTTGTATGGCAATGCAGCAATTGGGCTTAAATTCTGAGGAGGCCAAAACACGAATTTGGATGATGGATTCCAAAGGTCTTATCGTACAGGTAACTCTTTCTTTCACATAAACATTAATTACGATTTCAAAAAATTAAATTTTTCTACCTGACTATATTTCAGGACTTCAAAAATTAATGTTATTGTGCAGCTTTATGGGATCCTACTGAAGTGTTTGTCTTACCCTTTCACGAATTTTCATATTTGTTTGCTGATTAACTTTAACGCTGAAACTTGAACGCAAAACTTGTTTCTGTAATTGAGCTCAAGTTTCTTTTGTATCTTCTCTGATGTTGTCTACTTCCTTCTGGCTTTATAACAGTAAGCTCTTTCGTCAATGAACGAAAGTTTGTAAGTTAATAGTGGTTTATAAGCATATCTCGTGATTTTTAATAGGTTCGTTTTAGAGTCGAAAAAACCTGACACCTCAGAAAGCAGAGTTCGCTCAGGATCATAAACACATACAACAGTTGAAGGACGTTATCGAAGACATAAAGCCCACGGCCCTAATAGGCATGTATGAAATGTTCATACGGCTTTGTATTATAAATGCTTTTAATTTTCAGGAGCGGCAACGATAGGTGGCGCTTTTAACGAGGAAGTACTTCGTACAATGGGCGCCACGGTTAAGCGACCAATCATATTCGCGCTTTCTAACCCTACCAGCAAATCTGAATGCACGGCCGAACAAGCTTACACATTTACCGACGTAGGTGTTGCCAGTAATTGACTTTTGACTTAATGACTGATTTTCTCACATGAGTTGCAAGGGCCAGAGTTAGCTTCAAGATCTAAAAAAATGCCATTTATAACATAGACTGTATAAAGTCTATGAACCACATAATTTAGAAAAAGATAGAAATAGTAAACACCACCTTTCGTAAAACCATGACTTTAGGAATGATTAAAAATTCTCCTCTTGATTCTACGTTTCAGCTTCCGGCAAAGAAGTCATCGTCAAGAATACTTCACGCGCTGTTATATGTAAAGTAACCTGCATGGTGGCTTCAATGCCGGGAGCTGAAACGTCAGATCAGAAGGATAAATTTGTCGTCCATTTAAAGCGGCTGCAGCTGGTAGAGTTTAAATATTGGGGAATATTGCAAATGAAGTTACCAAGATTATATATATAATCCTGGGAACTTCATTTTCAATATTTAAACTCTACCTGTTGCAGCCGCTTTAAATGTACGACAAAATTCTACGACGATATTTTTTATTATTTGTCTGTAATTCATATTTATTAAATGCTCGATGAGCAATGATGCGATGCTGTTGTATTAATGCACTGCAGACGCATAGATACCGCGCAGCGGTAACATTCTCAAGTGGTTGTCTAGGCCTCTAAACGCAATGCAATAAGTGTTTAAGTAGTTCAGTTGAAATTTGCTTAGTAATCTTAGTATGCAGAAGAGTTAACACAGTATATGCCATACATGAATTGTAGGAACATTTCAAAATTAAAGTTATTTCTTATGCAACCTGCTTTAGGCTTAATGCTGCAGATCTCGTTTGTGGTATCCATATTTTTATATTCTCTGCTTAACCATCTTTAATATTCCTTTCCTTAGGTTCGATTTAATGTTCCCATGAATCATTAATTATTCCAGTACTTTTCATGGGCCTATTTTCAGGGCAGAGCTGTCTTTGCAAGTGGAAGTCCGTTCGACAAGGTACAAATCGCGGGTAAGACCTTTTATCCGGGTCAGGGCAACAATTCATATATCTTTCCCGGTGTTGCCCTCGGGGCCATCTGTTCCGGTGCCAGACATATTCCGGATGAGATATTCCTTCACGCAGCTGTGGTAAGAAAGTTTTTCTTGACATCAGAAATGCTGCTAAATTTTTTTAGGCTTTATCTAACATGGTCACTGAGCGCCATATGAATGAAGGGCGCGTTTATCCGCCGCTGTCTGACATCCGGGATATTTCAGCAAAAATTGCTACCGCTGTTGCGTCTTACTGCTACGAGGTAAGTGCGATGCACCAGCTGTGTCACAATAATGAACCGTGGTGGTGATTTCTTTTCGCTGTATGCTGTATTGACAGTTATTTTTTTAGCTTTCATCTTATTCTAAATAATACATCTGACCATAATCATAGATAAGCCGTTGATATCCTTTTGTAACGGCAGTTATTCTGAGATTTTTCCGTCTCTAATTTCTTCTATTATGCTAAGATGCATCGACCGCAATTTATATTCTATCATTCAGTTTCGACGACCGTGTAGGTTTGCGGCGGTAGCCGCGTCAGACTCTCTCCAATGTTCTCGATTCTGTTCTAGAGTCGGACCTTCTGTAGAAGATAACCTAAGTCTGCAGTAGGTTTTCTTGAGACACGTGTCCCAGGTCATTCTTGGCTAACTTTGGAGTAT